ATCAACAAGACAGACTCACCTGGTGAGGGCAGTCTATGACACACCTTTTGTACCCAATCCAACTTCCTCACTGTGTGAAAGACTCCATCGTAATCATTTTGTTTACGTCATCCAGAATTTGAATCAGCAGGACTCAATTGTTTTCAAATGAGATGGTCAAACACACAAAGCATTGTGTAGGATGACGTGCACCTTTTTAATTACAAAATTCCCAGAGATAGGGAGAGTCCCCTTGTTGCTCAATCTCTCAGATAGTCACTGCGATTACTTCACTAAGATGAATAGTGTGCATTGTGCCTCTCTATGGGGTAAACAGTGCCAGTGCCCAACAGTATGATAACACCTCCCTGGAAAAAATGTTTTGATAAGAACTTGTTTTGATCAGGATCCACATTCCCCAGATACATGCCCCTTTCACGTGACAGAATAGCAGGTATTACGCATGTGTACACGGCGTCATCTCTTTTGTATTTTATCTGTGATGGGTCTCACTGCACATTTGTTTATACAGCCTTGTCAGGGATGTTAGAATAATAATGAAGATTACACCAGCTACTTTAGTGGATAAATGGTTTATTGTGATTATCAGATCTCAAAGTGAGATATGAAATTTGAATATACAGTGAGGGAAAAAAGTATTTGATTCTCTGCTGATTTTGTACGTTTGCCCACTGACAAAGACATGATCAGTCTATAATTTTAATGGTAGCTTTATTTGAACAGTGAGAGACAGAATAACAACAAAAAAATCCAGAAAAATGCATGTCAAAAATGTTATAAATTGATTTGCATTTTAATGAGGGAAATAAGTATTTGACCCCCTCTGCAAAACATGACTTAGTACTTGGTGCCAAAACCTTTGTTGGCAATCACAGATGTCAGATGTTTCTTGTAGTTGGCTACCAGGTTTGCACACATCTCAGGAGGGATTTTGTCCCACTCCTCTTTGCAGATATTCTCCAAGTCATTAAGGTTTTGAGGCTGACGTTTGGCAACTCAAACCTTCAGCTCCCTGCACAGATTTTCTATGGGATTAAGGTCTGGAGACTGGCTAGGCCACTCGAGGACCTTAATGTGATTCTTCTTGAGCCACTCCTTTGTTGCCTTGGCCGTGTGTTTTGGGTCATTGTCATGCTGGAATACCCATCCACGACCCATTTTCAATGCCCTGGCTGAGGGAAGGAGGTTCTCACCCAAGATTTGACGGTACATGGCCCAGTCCATCGTCCCTTTGATGCGGTGAAGTTGTCCTGTCCCCTTAGCAGAAAATCACCCCCAAAGCATAATGTTTCCACCTCCATGTTTGACGGTGCGGATGGTGTTCTTGGGGTCATAGGCAGCATTCCTCCTCCTCCAAACACGGCGAGTTGAGTTGATGCTAAAGAGCTCCATTTTGGTCTCATCTGACCACAACACTTTCACCCAGTTCTCCTCTGAATCATTCCGATGTTCATTGGCAAACTTCAGACGGGCCTGTATATGTGCTTTCTTGAGCAGGGGGACCTTGCGGGCGCTGCAGGATTTCAGTCCTTCACTGCGTAGTGTGTTACCAATTGTTTTCTTGGTGACTATGGTCCCAGCTGCCTTGAGATCATTGACAAGATCCTCCTGTGTAGTTCTGGGCTGATTCCTCACTGTTCCAATGATCATTGCAACTCCACAAGGTGAGATCTTGCATGGAGCCCCAGGCCGAGGGAGATTTAGAGTTATTTTGTGTTTCTTCCATTTGCGAATAATCGCACAAACTGTTGTCACCTTCTCACCAAGCTGCTTGGCGATGGTCTTGTAACCCATTCCAGCCTTGTGTAGGTCTACAATCTTGTCCCTGACATCCTTGGAGAGCTCTTTGGTCTTGGCCATGGTGGAGAGTTTGGAATCTGATTGATTGATTGCTTCTGTGGACAGGTGTCTTTTATACAGGTAACAAACTGAGATTAGGAGCACTCCCTTTAATAGTGTGCTCCTAATCTCAGCTCGTTACCTGTATAAAAGACACCTGGGAGCCAGAAATCTTTCTGATTGAGAGTGGGTCAAATACTTATTTCCCTCATTAAAATGCAAATCAATTTATAACATTTTGACATTAGTTTTTCTGGATGTTTTTGTTGTTATTCTGTCTCTCACTGTTCAAAAAAACCTACCATTAAAATTTATTTGTCAGTGGGTAAACGTACAAAATCAGCAGGGGATCAAATACTTTTTTCCCTCACTGTAGCTTGAAAATAAACGCAAGTAGGCAGGGTGTTATTATAACTCAATAAAGATTTGGAATTGATATCGAGAAATTGAAGAAAAAAAAATCTGAACAAAGATACACATAACTCAACAGACATCAGTGGTGGCCATCATCAGTGTTATGATGTTATGGTCAATTGAAATTAAAATCCCAGTGCACGTGATGAACAGGAGCGGATCTGTGATCTTCTCGATAAGATCAATAAATGTTATGGCAATGTTGAGACTTCCAGATAACACAATGGCATAATAGAGCCATCTCAAAGCCCTAGAAGCACAACTTGTGTTTTGGTTAGTAGTTTACTTTGGAGTGTGGGAGTGTGTGGGATGTGGGAGTGTGTGGTTAGCCTAATTATTAGTGGCTCTGCAGAGACACAGATTCCAGGACCCCCAGCAAATAGGTTAGCCTAATTATGAGTGGCTCTGCAGACACACTGATTCCAGGACCCTCAGCAAACACGCTTTAGCTCACGCTGGAGCATTATGATGACAATACAGGAATTGGCAGTCATTTAATAGAAGCATGCGCTACTTCTTGATGTAATAATATAATAATAACATGCCATTTAGCAGACGCTTTTATCCAAAGCGACTTACAGTCATGTGCGCATATATATTTACGTATTGGTGGTCCCGGGGATCGAACTCACTACCCTGGCGTTACAAGCACCATGCTCTACCAATTGAGCTACAGAGGACCACAGATGTAAAATACATCTGTGTGTTTGTCCACCCAAGTGTCTGTCAGTCTGCCAACTGCCATGCATTACGAGGGTTTGGGTGCTACATTTGCAGTGGATATGGTGAATTACCCCCATACAATGTAAAGCGCTTAAAGACCTTGGTCAAATCGTTTCTGATACTGTATAAACACCATCCATCCTTAACCATCATTCTGTACTGTATATGGCCGTGACATGAAAGGTTGCAGAGGGCACTTTGCATGGTTAGAAATCAAACGTTTCTCTTCGCCTACCCTTTGATCCAAATCACTGGGATGTCAACATGAGAATCCGTCTGCTATGCTGGGGCAGAAGACACAGTCATTATTTCACCATTATGTAATCCACTTCGTCCTAATTAGAGACACGAAGGTAGAGTTTGGTCGATGCTTATATGTTATTGCACAAGTGCAGGAAATGCAGTGTGTCCCTGCCGTGCAGTGAGCATGAAGAACACGCATTGCATCACAGTAAACTTAAGTCATGTGGTATCCCCCATTTCATGATCTTTCTGTAGATTGAGTAGAATAAAGTAATTAGAGAGTAGGCTCAGCTAGCTAGCAGCTACATTATCTCTATGTTATGTTCAGCTTCACATGAAGGCTAGGAGAGGTCTAATTAGAAGTTAGCCAGAAACACCAAAGACTCAAGGAGGACACTGGGATACTTATCATAGACTATTTTCATTGGATACAGTGTTATTGTCTTTGTAGTCCCCTGCTATAGTGTTCCTGTCTGTAATGACTAGGTGTGGTTTTTACAGAAAGCCATGCATGGCCCAAGGACTGTGCCGCACCGCTATGATATCTCTCCAACGGTCAAGCCCCACACATTGTCACAAAGGTATGTTGTTTTATGATAGTTGATGTGACGTGTGTGTGTGTGTGTGTGTGTGTGTGTGTGTGTGTATGTGTAAAAACCATGACCAGAATATCTGGGCCAAAAATTCTAACTCTCCAGTCTTAACCACTGATTTGTGTGGCCCGGGTTAGGAGTTAAATGCTACCAAGAGCATGCCTAAATAACTCTTGCGCTCCAAAAGAGGTGGTTGTTAGCTTGGAATGCTAAAAACATTCCCCACCCCCTATATTTGGAGAGACTGAATCATTAAGCTGTTGGACATCATTTTGAGATGTATAGAGTCAAAAACAATTGGGTTGTTTTACATTATACATTTTACTCATTTAGCAGACACTCTTATTCAGAGCTACTTACAGTTAGTGAGTGCATACATTTTCATACTGGCCCCCCGTGGGAATCAAACCCACAACCCTGGTGTTGCAAGCACCATGCTCTACCAATTGAGCTACCCACAATATCAAATACCAGTTTATTGTTCAACAACCATTGTAAAATAGCCAAACAAGGTTTTTTCTTGTAGAACTCGAGCAGCCACACTTACAACATGGGTCAGGTTAATAGAATGTTTTAATAAAACAGATATCTTTACTATTTGTTAATTTTTACAAGTAAATAATGAAAATGTACATTTTACATTAGACAGTAAATAACAATATCAATCATATTGTGTACACATTTACAATATTGGAAAGGAACCGTGCAGCACCGTGTTCATATTTATCATACTGGTGCTGACAGAATTCAATAGCTCAGTTAAGTACCACCTCCAGTACAGTATTTACAATACAGTAATTTACTGCAATAATCAAGGTTAAGTTCCATAAAAGAGAAACAAAACAACTCTGCCATTTTTAATGACGTATCGATCTTTCCAAGACACATCCAATGACAGCTTCCTTATTCGGCAACCCCCAGCATCCAGGTGAATCGGATTGGTCCATTTTAAACCATCACATCCCTCAGGGCGTATCACTTTTCTCTGGAATCTGGTCTTCCTTTCCAGGTGTCGTGTGTTGTGTGTGTGTGTGTGTGTCAGCGTCTCTGACAGATGTGTAGGTTGTGGGCAGCGTGTCAGCATCTTAGGCAGTGTGTATGTCCAGGATGTGTGTGTGTCAGCGTCTCTGACAGATGTGTAGGTTGTGGGCAGCGTGTCAGCATCTTAGGCAGTGTGTATGTCCAGGATGTGTGTGTGTGTCAGCGTCTCTGGCAGGTGTGTAGGTTCCGGTCTGCGGTCCTGCTGACTCCGGGGTCTTTCTCTCCTCTCTCCGGTCTGCAGGAGAGGCCATCTCCACAGTCGCAGCGCTGGAACAGCTCCAGGCCATGGCCGCCTTTCCTACGGTGACGCGTGCACACCTGGCCCTCCGTCAGCACCGGCTTACAGATACGAGACCAGAAGTGGCGTGCACAGCACAGACCCTCAGAGCAGTCAGAGGACCTCAGGCAGTTGTTACCTTCCCGACCTAGAGAAAGAGAGAGGGAAGAGAGAGAGGTAAATATGACGTGTTCTGTTGGAAAGGCCTCACAGCTGGAATTTTGATATTGAAAAGTTTCCTTTCAAACCCCTTGGTAATTTAGTCCAAGTGGACTGTGTGGGTAGGACAAATCTATAGAATCTTTATGGGTGATACTGGGTAGTGTTTGTTGTGTGGGTGTGTGCATGTGTAATACACACCTACCTTTGACAGAATGTTGTGGTTGACCTTGGGGCAGAGGCAGTCTCTTGCCATGGTGTTCCATGGTGTTGTTCTGCCTATTCCCAACACTGGTAGTGACTGCAGCTTCAGCATCTTGATCACTGGCCTGACAAACACCTGAGGGAAAAGGTACATGTTATCATTGAACGCTAGTAAAGTTTTCAAGATAATTACAATATCTCATTACACCCCAACTTTATATAATATGCCATTTAGCAGACGCTTTTATCCAAAGCGACTTACAGTCATGTGTGCATAATTTTTTTTTTTATGTATGGGTGGTCCCGGGGATCAAACCCACTACCCTGGCGTTACAAGCACCATGCTCTACCAATTGAGCTACAGAGGACCACTTTCTTACCCATAAGTAGTTTTTGTATTCCCAATACTTCTCTTACCACATCACTAAACTTAAATAAAAGACCTCGCATGAATTAAAAGTGTAATGATCTGAAAATGGTTGAAAAAATAACAACAAGTAACATTTGGATATGTTGAGCTCACCGTTGATGCAGCGGTTCCCAGCGCAGCACATTGAATCCCTTGCGCACCGCTTCCGGATCTTTCGGCATGGGAGGCACGCGCCTCGGATATCGTTGCAGAATTCATCGGTCCCACACTCATCATCATATGTGCAAGTAGGCTAAGATAAATATACATAATAAAATATTTATTTCCATTGGAACATAAATGCAGAACGCATTTCGGTAAAAGCGCATTGGTAACGTATCCAACAAGCGCTTGGGCATTGGTTAGTGTTGGTATTACGCACAGCTCCTAGAGCTTTCTAGTGGGGTTTCTTACCTGCAAAGTGTCCACGACTGCTTTCTGCCGGTCGCTATCTGGTGAAGATGGACGTGGGCTCGGGCTAACCATGTCGGTGCCACCGGGCAAGTTCTTGATGGCATTAGAGTTGAGTAAAACCGCCCCGGCATAAGCATCCCCAAGGTATCCAAACAGCATGACATATATGGCCATAAAACGAAGCACTGGCAGATGAGGCATACCTCTTCTTATGTAAATTATTGGTCTTATAAATAAATGAAAAATGAATAAAAATCCGTCAAATGTATTGGTAAAAAGTCTGCGTAAGTCTTGAATCCTACCACAAAGTCTCAAGAGGTTGTTGTTAGTAGGGTATTTTGAGGTATTCTGACGCATGGCTCTGCGATGTTCTCTTTATACATGTGGATCTGTATTTATTCCCGCCCCTCGCAGCACACAACAAAGGCGGAGGGTGGAATTTCAAAGGCGCTTAAACGCCTGAGCTCCACTGTATGGAAATGGGCAACTGCTCTGCCAGGATTTACTTTCACAAGGTTTGTGTGATCAACAAGTCTCTAATGGGATTGCGCCCATCACCTGCCTGGAGACATCATCCTTTAAACAATATTTAAAGGATGCCATTAGGATACAGCTCAGGAGAACTCCTGGTTTATTATGGCATTGTAGCCAATACCACATTTCTGTCAACTGGCACCAAAGTTATTTACTCACATCATTTCAGACAGAAGAAGTTGTGGAGCTGCTCAAATCCAGAACTTCTAATAGACTACGCTTGATGAGCAGTTGACATGGACCCTATTGCTTATTTTGGGTAAGATAGTATGAAATCCATGAGCTGTTCTGGCTAGCACAAGCCACTCATGCAAGGCTACTTACTATTTGTACACAGTCTGAAATCTGCGCTCACAACTCGCAAATATTCTTATGGTTTAATATGGCATTTTTTCTTTATTTTTTTCCACCACATCCTGTGATTGAACTGTATCTATTGTCTGGACATATTCTCCCATTCTTATGCTATTTTGGGAAAGTTTGGCACAGTGGAAGGGTCTTTCCTAAAGGCCCGCTGTTTTTCCTTTGACATTCAAGTGCCTAACTGTCCTTTGGCTGTGTGTAAACGGTGATTGAAGCTACTTTCCGTCGATTAACTACTTCATTTGATCTATCTGATTGCAAAGGGCACAATTATCCTCAAAGTGTGCTTGATTACACCAGCGGCGGACATCAATATTGGATATACAAAGCATTAAGGGGTGTGAAAGTGTATCTAATTAATGGGCTTCCGTGGAGAGGTCTTTCAGGGCTGACTGGCACATTGAGATAAAAGACAACTCTGATATTTCATGCTTGCGCTCAGGTTGAGCTAGTGAAGGACACGGGATAAAAGAGGCCACCAAATGGGACAGAGTGAAGCTCTGCTCTTCCCATGGCCTGCAGTTCACTCCCACACAAATTATGTCAAAAAGTTTGACATTTTTGAGACTGGTGTGTGTTCATAAAATACCATTACCAACATGCGTGTTTAGGTCTACAATGTCATGGCACCAAGGGAATATCCAGAAAAGGCACCAAAACAGTTCCTGTACCGGGTAAGAAAGCGAGGCTGAAGAGAATGTGCTTGCTTCTCTTGTATGCTACAGAAAAGGTTTGGCACTTGGACCCCATCTGGTGGTTCCATAACGATATAGACAATGAAGAAGCAACGTCGCCATACAAATATTGCCTACCTGAACACGAACTGGCGCTACAGTATGTCTGGTGGTTCGGTTTGGTGCTTTAGCTTTTAACCAAGGTATAAACCATCGTGGATTAACAAGAACCCCTTTGATGGGTTTAAATGATCACACAGAGGTGACACGCTGTTAGGTCTCTGGGAATACACTGTCGATTAGTCTGGTTACTGGCATTTGAAATATTTACGAACCAGATGAAACATCTCTGAAAAGTGGAAGGTCCTCCTGTCAAAGCCTACCAGTTGCTTTCATTTGAATCAGGCTACATTGGGGTGAACAAGAAGATGCTCACCTTTTGCTCTCTCTTGTGGCTGTTGGTGTTTCCTTCTCAGTATTATTGACTTGGTGTTTTGAATAGAAAATCTTAACTTAACATTAGATTGGCCACATGAAGAAAAGACACCCAGAAAAACCCCATTGAAAAGTATGTTGTCTTTTTAAAGAGTGTACATGTGGCACAGAAACATAACAAAAACACAAGGAAAATATATCAGGCAACTCACATTGTAACTTTTGGGGATTCACAAAACAGTGGCAATTAAAGCAGTAAGGGTCTGTCAAATTATGAATGACAAAGTGGTGTACAAGAAACTGAAATGTTTGCAACCTATTCTATGGATCCCAACATCACGGCAACAATAATGTTTCAAATAAGTAATGCAGGCCTAGGCTATGTGTTCATGTCTGTGGCGTATGATCTGGATTATGTGTGGCTTGGGTTGCATATGCTCGTACATGAGTGAAGATAGAAGCAGAATTCCTATTATAATCTCTTGGGCCTTTGCAAACTCAGCACTTATTTAAATTAAAAAAAGATTGCCAGTGCTAAGCATTCCCTCTCAATTTAACAAAGCCTTTTCAATGGGCTAATAGGTCATATACTTTTCAGACCAACTGTGCCGACAACTGCAAATCATCTTTGCCATCTCTATCTGATTGAAGTGGTCATTCAAAGTGGTGGTTTATCCATCATATTGACATGTGAGTTTCTGTGCTCATTACCACAAAGCGTCTCAGAGTAGAAAGCTGATCTAGGATCAGGTCCCAAACTGTCTATATAGTCTTATTCATTATGATCTAAATGAGAAACTGATCCTAGATCAGCACTCCTACTCTGAGAGGCTTTGTGGATAAAGGCCCAGGTCTCAGTCTTCAGGTGCAACCACCACTATCATGTCCAGAGGAGAGCATGTCATTGCAGTCACAATGCAGTCAGTGTTTCTACTTTGTTTCCATATCATGTGCACTCAGTTTAGGATACATATCACTTAAATATATATTTTTGTGAAGGGGGAAAAGGAGCAAAGGAGAAAAATACTGTTTTATAGACAGACTTTCAGTTGTTGTCTACAGTGTTTACCATTTGATTGTAAAATATATATATATATATATATATATATATATATATATAGTGCCTACGAAAAGTATTCAGACCCCTTGACTTTTTCCACATTTTGTTACGTTACAGCCTTATTCTAAAATTGATTAAATAAATAAAAATCCTCAGCAATCTACACACAATACCCCATAATAAAAAAGTGAAAACAAGTTTTATTGAATTTTTTTGCAAATGTATTAAAAAGAAAATACAGAAATACATTTTTTTACATTTACATAAGTATTCAGACCCTTTGGTATGAGACACGAAATTGAGGTCAGGTGTATCCTGTTCCATTGATCATCCTTGAGATGTTTCTACAACATGATTGGAGTCCACCTGTGGTAAATTAAATTGATTGGACATGATTTGGAAAGGCACACACCTGTCTATATAAGTTCCCACAGTTGACAGTGCATGTCAGAGCAAAAGCCAAGCCATGAGGTCGAAGGAATTGTCTGTAGAGCTCCGAGACAGGATTGTGTCGAGGCACAGATCAGGGAAAGGGTACCAAAACATTTCTGCAGCATTGAAGATCCCCAAGAACACAGTGGCCTCCATCATTCTTAAATGGAAGAAGTTTGGAACCACCAAGACTCTTCCTAGAGCTGTCCGCCTGGCCAAACTGAGCAATCGGGGGAGAAGGGCCTTGGTCAGGGTGGTGACCAAGAACCCGATGGTCACTCTGACAGAGCTCTAGAGTTCCTCTGTGGAGATGGGAGAACCTTCAGGCCTTTATGGTAGAGTGGCCAGACAGAAGCCACTCCTCAGTAAAGGGACAACAGCCCGCTTGGAGTTTGCCAAAAGGCACCTAAAGACTCTCAGATCATGAGAAACAAGATTCTCTGGTCTGATGAAACCAAGATTGAACTCTTTGGCCTGAATACCAAGCGTCACATCTGGAGGAAACCTGGCACCATCCCTATGGTGAAGCACGTTGGTGGCAGCATCATGCTGTGGGGATGTTTTTCAGCGGCAGGGATGGGGAGACTAGTCAGGATCGAGGGAAAGATGAACAGAGCAAAGTACAGAGAGATCCTTGATGAAAACCTGCTCCAGAGCACTCAGGACCTCAGACTGGGGCAAAGGTTCACCTTCCAACAGAACAACGACCCTAAGCACACAGCCAAGACAACGCAGGAGTGGCTTCGGGACTAGTCTCTGAATGTCCTTGAGTGGCCCAGCCAGAGCCCGGACTTGAACCCGATCGAACATCTCTGGAGAGACCTGAAAATAGCTGTGCAGCAATGCTCCCCATCCAACCTGACAGAGCTTGAGAGGATCTGCAGAGAATGGGAGAAACTCCCCAAATACAGGTGTGCCAAGCTTGTAGCGTCATACCCATGAAGACTCGAGGCTGTAATCGCTGCCAAAGGTGCTTCAACAAAGTACTGAGTAAAGGGTCTGAATACTTATGTAAATGTGATATTTCAGTTTTAAATGTATTATACATTTGCTAAAATTTCTACAAACCTGTTTTTGCTTTGTCATTATGGGGTATTGTGAGTACATTGATTAGGGGAAAATAACAATTTAATCCATTTGACAATAAGGCTGTAACCTAACAAAATGTGGAAAAAGTAAAGGGGTCTGAATACTTTCCGAATGCACTGTATATGGAAAGCAGCCATCTATGGACAGTGTGACAACAGATGTAACGTTTTGAGTCGCTTACTGTTCATGCAGTATTGAAACGATGACATGACGTTAATTGGGATGCCATTGATTTAAGGCACTTGCATTGTTCTACTGATGAATGACTACTAGTGTTGGACAGTGAGGTAATGAACCACAAGTGTAGAGAAAATGATGAATGAATGATTAGCGTCACTCATAAAACATAACCATGCTGGTTGTCCAGTCCACCAACTGTTTTACAAAACTGTTTTTAAAATAGACCTACTCCAATATATGATTGATGCACACTTCATAGTTATGTCAACAAGGAATAGTAATTGGTTGCTAACTGTTCTACTATGTATTTATCATTGTCCTCTGGATTTAGCGGTCACTTGTATGACTTTAACTAAACACGGCAAATCATTGTCCTCTGGACTTTAACTAAACATGGCGACAACAGAAGTGTCAAATATTAAACAGACTTGTCACTTAAGTTTACAAACCAACACAATTCTCTAAAGAAAGCAAGCAAGTGCATTACAAAGTAATCAAGCACTTTAATATCAATACACAGTAACAATAACCAGTGCTCATAACGTTTCATCCATTCATATTTAATTCAGTACCTGTATTTACATTACTGTAGAAACGACAGCACTGAAGGCATTAAAACCCCATTAAAAGTGGTAAATTAAACTACTGTGGCGTGAAAATATGACTTACCTAATTAAAGGGATGCCATTTATATTGATTGGTTAGTAACTGCATGATGAAAGAGCAACTCATAGGATGAGGATGTCAGACATTTGCAATACATAGGGTTGATGTGTAGCTAAGAGCATATAGTGGACTTATAAATTACATCTTTATTATCTGATCGTCCAATGCCTGTGAAATGAAAGATGGTCCAAGAATCTTCGCTGTTGTTGTTGATGAAGTTTGTTAATAACTGCATAATAACAAATTGCTTTGTAGAAATGAGGGATGAATATGTGTGACTGATTACATTTGTAAGCAGGACATTTGAAGCACAGAACAGAAATGTTGCTTTTTTTAAGGTAAGTAGCTGCTGCATTCAGTGTACATGAGTAAAGTAGATGAGTGTAGCAGCCTATGTGTGAGAATGTAACTTCAAATTGTATCTACATATACTCTGTGGTTCTAAAAGTAATATTAAGAGGAACAGTAACATTCACGTTCGTCATGAGCACTTGGTACCTGTTTGACTTGTCAGACTAAGATCCTGTTTCCCTATTGAGGAGGGCCAGATACCAGATACTGTCGGTACTAGGTACTGCTGAGCCGAACCTCAGGGACCAGCCTGTCCGTTTGTCTTGGAGAGAAAACAGGGTGCAGAGGGGAAGCCTTCCAAACATGGACCCAGCCTGTCTGTTTGTGTCTGTCCAACCTTTTAGGAGCAGTGCAGGTGTGTGGCCACAACAGAAAAATAATCTTCCACCCTATATATTTTACTTTTTTTATCGTTCCTTTTTGTGTCCTTACACTCTCACATATATTGTACATACACTCATTCTCACATGCTCTCTCTGCTAAATGAATAGGCATTGTTTTAGCTCCAGGACTTACCTCAGTGTGTGTGTGTGTGTGTGTGTGTGTGTGTGTGTGTGTGTGTGTGTGTGTGTGTGTGTGTGTGTGAGAGAGTGAGTGAGTGAGTGAGAACACTGAGGAAATGATAAGGTCATTAAATGCTAGTCCCAGAGCCACGCGTAGCGAAGGCATATCGGTGACCCAGAGCGGTTGTGGTCCTCTTCCTCTCCTCCGACCTCCTCTTCCTCTTTATCGCAGTCTTTAGAATGCAGCTATATCAGGAAGTAGGCCCCCAGGCCAATGACAGAAGAGAATTTGGTATTGGGGGTGGGGGTGGGGGGTGCCGTTTAAAAATCGGTGTCCCAGCCAGAGTTGTCATCTGGGGGCGGGTCTTCATTGTCCTCTGGGAAGCTGTCAAAGTTACTTGTGTCCGTTGGTGATGTCACCTGATTGACAGACAAAGACAGAAAGAGAATTGAACCACTTAAACCTTTTATGAAAGCAGCTTGCTGCTGAAATGTTGGTTCGTGACTTACATTAGGGATGATAGGGGGTGTCAGCGTTCCCTTCCGTAGACCTTCCCCGTTAAAGCCCTCGAACCATCTGGAAATGTATAGAAACTGTTATAAATATCTAAATGTGAGAAGATTAGTAGAATAATATGGCTATCCATATCCATGAACTTACTTGTGCTTTTGGATGTCTTTGACACCGTTTTTCAAGTTTCCCAGTCTTTCCGAAGGATTGTCCCTAAAATGTACACATCTTTAAATTCTCTACTAAAGACCAAATGATATTAAAGGTCCAATGCAGCCATTTTTAACTCAATATCAAATAATTTCTGGGTAACAATTAAGTACCTTACAGTGATTGTTTTCAATTAAAATAGTCAAAAGTAACAAAAATAGCTTCTTAGCAAAGAGGAATTTCTGTCTGGGAGTGGTCTGAGTGGAGAGGGGAAAACTGAAAATGAGCTCTTATTGGCAGAGAGGTTTGGAACTCTCTTTCTTATTGGTCTATTATCTAATTTACTGCATGTTGATGTCACAATGTAAGGCCAAAACTCCCTCCCATACCAAAACAGGCAGAAATTTCAGGTGGTCTTTTCAAACAAATCTTACACTAAAAGGGCATACAATTCACAGTATTATTCCAACCTCATAGTGTGGAAATATACAGTATATAAAACACAGGGAAATCATGTTTTTGACTGCACTGAGGCTTTAAACAGTAATTGTTGAGGGTGGACCAAATGGTTTGGGACTCACCTGCATAGTTTTTTTATTAAGTTGGCAGCGTTTTTGGTAATCTTCTTTGGAAATTCAATCATGTCGATGCCCCTCAGGATGATGTTATATGTTTTCATGGGATCAGGGCCAGAGAAGGGAGGGCTGGAAGACCAGGGTAGAAGTAGACACTAACATTTCTCCCAATCTAAGTTTACATCTGGCCTTTCACTTTTATTTAAGAGTAATTATCAGGTTTGTCTGTATACCTGCCGGTGAGGAGCTCAAACATGAGGATTCCTAGAGACCAGTAGTCAGCTGAGATGTCGTGGCCTTTGTTCAGAATGATCTCTGGTGCCACGTATTCTGGTGTTCCACAGAACGTCCACGTTTTCTTCCCAAACCCTATCTTCTTGGCAAAGCCAAAGTCCACCTAAACAAAGGACATGGGAAAATACATTCTTAGAGGCAACCTGCAGCGTTAATAGATCAAAGTGTTAGAGGTTTGGGCCATCAAGCTTTGAATCCACAGTGTGTGTCCCTTACTAGCTTGGCGTAGCCCCTGTGGTCCAGTATAAGATTCTCTGGTTTGAGGTCTCTGTAGATGATGCCTTTGGAATGCAGGTAGGCGAATGCTTCCACCACACAAGCTGTATAGAACCTGGTGGTGGAGTCCTCAAATGAACCCCTGGAGAAGGAAGTGACAATAATCTCTAAAATAACCATCATATTTTAAACAAGCTCACATTGACCAGCTCTTCCACAGACTCACTGAAACACATGCGAGGCACAATGAAATTAGTTGAAATATTGACCTGACATGCTGGCTAGTCCGGCCACGTTGTTATTCAATAATTTCATCCAAACTGGTCGCGGGTGTCAATGGGCGTCTGCGTAGCCAGGCGCTAAAATAGATCTTGGTTCTATTTTAGAAGCTTGACGCGTTGCAAGTCCCACCTCTCCCAACTCTACTCATTGATTTTCACGAGCATACTAACCCACGTGGGTGATTGAAAGATGAACGCGGAGAGATAAATCAAATAACTAACTAACTAAAAACTAACTAGGTTTCCCCTTTTATCTGTGGATTAATTGTCGGAGTAGAGAACACATGATTTTGTATGACTAAAAAATCTACAAAGATCCAGCAAAAAAAAGGAGCACATGCATTTCAGGTAAAATAACAACCTAATGTTTATCTCCCAGGACAAATTAGCTCGCAACAGCAAGTCAGCTAAATGTCTATGAATGTTTCATGTGTGTTTCGACCTGTCCCCAAATTAATATAGTTGATTCACAGTTGGTTTTGGTATTTTAATCTGCGTGTCATGAATGCGTCTGGTGGGGATAGACAAAATCAACATGCGCACGATGGTGCATGCGGGTGCACACGGGGAGCCGGTTTGGTCAAGGTATAACACTCACCGGTCTCTAAGAATGGTCCACAGCTCTCCTCCCAGACAAGCCTCCATCAGCATGTAGAGATACTTACTGTCCTTAAACGTCCTGTATAGTCTGAATACGAAACACAGAGTACAAAGATATCAAGACAGTGGCGGGGGGAGGGTGGGTCCTCTGTAGGTTTTACTGTGAATTAAAAGTGTCTGTGGACAGGCATTGCATGCGTGTCTCTACCTGACAATAAAGTCAGAATGGGCCTCCTGCATAATTAGTTTTTCAGAGCGGATATGCTCCTGCTGCCGCGTGTCCACGATGTGACGCTTCTTCAGGATCTTCATGGCAAAAGTCTTCAACTCATCACTCTTCAGCTGGACCTGTTGACACAGGAGAGAGGAGAGCACTGTTAGCTGTAAGCAACAGTTCAATGACACATCAATGCACTACAATGTAAGTTGCAGCTTCTTAAGCTTCCGAGTGTGGACTTCCCATACTTGTCGCTAGAATCCAGAAGACTAAAGAGTCCCTTTACAAGTCAGAATGTTGAATTAACTGTCCGTGGAGTTCACCCTTATGCCGTTGGAAATGTTAGACAAAATATCCATAGGAAAGTATTATTAAACCGACTTCAATATGCGGGTCTCTGTGCGTGGCTCTCATGGTTTGTTTGTTCATCACCTGAGTCACGCGCACACCACGTAAATACAAGCAGGCGATACATGCATTCTAACCAAACTCGTGCAGGTGTTTACATGGTTTTGTGCATGTGCCAGGTGATAGAAATCGCAACGGCAGTACCAGCATTTTAAAAAGTCGGTTTAACAATACTTTTCTGTGGATATTTTGTCTCATATTTTTTGCACAAGAACCATCCAAGTGGACAACTGGCAGAGTAAGTTCAAAGGACAGTTTATTCAACATTTTGGCTACACAACGCTATTCAAGGCACCTTTCATTAAGCTATAGCTTGCTATTAGGTCAGGAGGCCGACAAGTAGCAGCTGTGGTTCCTACCAGCTCTACGCGGCCAAAGCCACCAACCCCCAGTGTGTCAAAGATGTTGAAGTCAGCCAGATTGAGGTTGGAGAAGAAAGCGTTCTCTGCTTCGTACCTGCAGGGACAGACAACAAGGACATGTTAACTTTTAATTAGTACTTCTTATTTTAATCTTCACTGATTAAGACCTGGGACAGATGGTGGAATCTCTGGACAATCCTTGACATTGATCAATTAACTAACAGGTAGAAAAAAAACTGCCGTACTCCAGACCTATTTAATGTCCTGAGTCCTGACCTCTATCACAACATAGAACTTCCATGTCCCTATCTGTCCCCATTGCACCAGAGACAGAGGGGGACAGAAGTCACATGAGATGACTCCTCTGGGACCAAATGCCGTGCTTGGCTAGGCCTGTCACTCCCAGTGTCCTCTCTGGTTATTGTTTAATCCAGTGGGCCTTATCAGCTCAGTAGTGTGATCGAGAGGATCAGGACAGATAGAGGCCTGAGCCCTGAGGATAAAGGGTTTCTGGGTCAACCAAGCCAAAAGATCTTCAACGCCTTCAGCCTCGGGTGCATGCCAAAACAATCACCATGACGGTGGAGTGGTTCATACTTTTCCATGTGAAAGGGGAGAGAGCGGGGACAGCAGCTTCACAGCGATTGCAAATGTCGCACCTGTCCAGCCACATTAGCCCATACTGGAATTATTTCTGGACTTTGTGACATTACCAGGAAACATCTGGGCCCTAGTGATGAGCTCCAATCACAGACCTCCTTACTAGAGGGCAATTATGTTTATGATGATGACTCTGTGTGTGGTCTTCTCCACAGTCTCACATATAGGTGTTGTCTAGAAGGTGTTGTCATTTGAACCAACTCTGCCAATTGGTACAACTGTCTGTCTGTCTGTCTGTCTGCCCTGTTTCCCAGAAAAGGGACATGTTTAGCAGGGGCAGCGAGGCCCACTAGTCCCTGAGCACTGAGCACGACTCCATTGGGCTTCACCAGCCTCTCCTTTCATCACTCCCTTCTACTCTACCCATCTCCTGGAACACAGCCCAGACTACACTCCAAAGAGGGTGGCCCATTTACAGCTCAGGGTGACTGACAGCTGATCCCTCTCCCTGTCAAGAGTTTTACATGTCAAGGGGTGACAGCGAGGCCCACTTGTCCCTGAGCACTGAGCATGGCTCCATTGGGCTTCACCAGCCTCTCCTTTCATCACTCCCCTCTACTCTACCTATCTCCTGGAACACAGCCCAGACTACACTCCAAAGAGGGTGGCCCTTACAGCTCAGGGTGGCTGACAGCTGACCCCTCCCCCTGTCAAGAGTTTTACTATTCAAGGGGTGATGGGTAAGGCCAAGAGATTTTCCTGACCAAGTGACCTGAGGAGGGAAGCGTTAAAGCTCAATTCAGACCTACCTCAGTCATAAGCTCATTTGATGTTGTAAGAATAGTTTATGACCACTAGATGGCGAGGTTGTATCATTGTCATCACAGGTAAAGGAAGTTCAACTGAACATTCAGTAGAGAATGGAAGAAATTAATTCAAATGTCTAGAATTCAGTGGAGGCTCCTCAGAGTAGGAAGGGGAGGACCATCCTCCTCAGTGAATTTCATAAAAATAAAAATAGTGAAACATTAAAAAAGTTATCATTTTTAAATAAAACTATACTAAATAAATTCACGTCACCAAATAATTGATTAAAACACACGGTTTTGCAATGAAGGTTTACAGTAGCCTCAGCAGCACTCTGTAGGGAAGCACCATGGTGTGGCCGGAGGACAGCTAGCTTCTGTCCTCCTTTGGGTACATTGACTTCAATAGAAAACCTAGGAGGCTCATGGTTCTCACCACCCTTACATAGACTTACACAGTAATTATGACAACTGCTGGAGGACGTCCTCCAACCTATCAGAGCTCTTGCAGCATGAACTGACATGTTGTCCACCCAATCAAAGGATCAGAGAATGAATCTATTACTGAAAATAGCTAGCTAGCACTGCAGTGCATAAAATGTGGTCGGTAGTTGACTCAAAGAGAGAGAAAGACAATAGCTGAACAGTTCTGAACAAATGAATTCCTTCCAAAATTAAGGTTAAGCAAGAGAGGGAGAGAGAGAGAGAGAGAGAAAAGCTACAGTACATGTGTTTGAAATGTCCTTTAGAACAGTACAGCAGAGAGCCGGCCAGTGGTGTTCATTTCCAGTCAAGCGTTTGAATTCAACTGGTAATTGGATGGTGATCTGGTGTCCCAAGGAGGGGTTATGAAAATACAGGCTGGGGTGGGGCCTGAGACCAGCACCAATCGCATTGTTTCCCTTCTCTGTCAATGATGTCACACTCTTTAAATAAGCTCTCATTCTCTACTGACCCTCCTATCAACCCACACACAGTTGTATTTTTTAATTTTTTTTACTTTCACTTTCACTTAGCTAGCTAGTTTAGCTTACTCAATCACCCGACTCAAGCAGAGAGGATGCTATGTTAGCTAGCTGGCTATGGCTATCCAACACTGGAACTTTTCCAAGTCAAGGTAAGCTTTTGGTTTTATTAATTTATTGCCACCAGGGCCCATCGGTGTAACTGCTAAACTGCGGGTTTACAAACACGTTAGTTCTAGTAGCTACAGTGGGGAAAAAAGTATTTAGTCAGCCACCAATTGTGCAAGTTCTTCCACTTAAAAAGATGAGAGAGGCCTGTAATTTTCATCATAGGTACACGTCAACTATGACAGACAAATTGAGAATTTTATTTCCAGAAAATCACATTGTAGGATTTTTTAAGAATTTATTTGCAAATTATGGTGGAAAATAAGTATTTGGTCACCTACAAACAAGCAAGATTTCTGGCTCTCACAGACCTGTAACTTCTTCTTTAAGAGGCTCCTCTGTCCTCCACTCGTTACCTGTATTAATGGCACTCGTTTGAACTTGTTATCAGTATAAAAGACACCTGTCCACAACCTCAAACAGTCACACTCCAAACTCCACTATGGCCAAGACCAAAGAATTGTCAAAGGACACCAGAAACAAAATTGTAGACCTGCACCAGGCTGGGAAGACTGAATCTGCAATAGGTAAGCAGCTTGGTTTGAAGAAATCAACTGTGGGAGCAATTATTAGGAAATGGAAGACATACAAGATCACTGATAATCTCCCTCGATCTGGGGCTCCACGCAAGATCTCACCCCGTGGGGTCAAAATGATCACAAGAACGGTGAGCAAAAATCCCAGAACCACACGGGGGGACCTAGTGAGTGACCTGCAGAGAGCTGGGACCAAAGTAACAAAGCCTACCATCAGTAACACACTACGCCGCCAGGGACTCAAATCCTGCAGTGCCAGACGTGTCCACCTGCTTAAGCCAGGCCCGTCTGAAGTTTGCTGAGTGCATTTGGATGATCCAGAAGAGGATTGGGAGAATGTCATATGGTCAGATGAAACCAAAATAGAACTTTTTGGTAAAACCTCAACTCGTCATGTTTCGAGGACAAAAAATACTGAGTTGCATCCAAAGAACACCATACCTACTGTGAAGCATGGGGGTGGAAACATCATGCTTTGGGGCTGTTTTTCTGCAAAGGGAACAGGACGACTGATCCGTGTAAAGGAAAGAATGAATGGGGCCATGTATCGTGAGATTTTGAGTGAAAACCTCCTTCCATCAGCAAGGGCATTGAAGATGAAACGTGGCTGGGTCTTTCAGCATGACAATGATCCCAAACACACCGCCCGGGCAACGAAGGAGTGGCATCGTAAGAAGCATTTCAAGGTCCTGGAGTGGCCTAGCCAGTCTCCAGATCTCAACCCCATAGAAAATCTTTGGAGGGAGTTGAAAGTCCGTGTTGCCCAGCGACAGCCCCAAAACATCACTGCTGTAGAGGAGATCTGCATGGAGGAATGGGCCAAAATACTAGCAACAGTGTGTGAAAACCTTGTGAAGACTTACAGAAAACGTTTGACCTGTGTCATTGCCAACAAAGGGTATATAACAAAGTATTGAGAAACGTTTGTTATTGACCAGATACTTATTTTCCACCATAATTTGCAAATTAATTCTTAAAAAATCCTACAATGTGATTTTCTGGGAAAAAAAATCTCATTTTGTCTGTCATAGTTGACGTGTACCTATGATGAAAATTACAGGCCTCTCTCATCTTTTTAAGTGGGAGAACTTGCACAATTGGTGGCTGACTAAATACTTTTTTTCCCCACTGTATGTTGTCTATGACGTGACAAGGATGTAGGCTGTGTGAAGTGGTTAGCGGTCATGATATGAAGGTTTGGCTTGGAAAGGTTTTTTCGCCTAGTCACTAGCTGATGTGTTGTGCACTGAAGTCCACTAGCGAAAGGAAAAGGTTAGAGGAGGACATCGTGTAGATAGTTGCGAGATGGAATTATATATACAACGAGCAGAGTGATCATGCTGTTTGTATGTGGCTGCTATGAAAGTGGATTGTGCTTGCGTGTGATCAGGGGTGTATTCTCTCCGCCGATTCTGTTTTAAAACGTTTCTTAAACGGAAGCAAATGGAACGAAATGGACATAAACATACCTGAATTTGTCCAAAGAAACTCTCATTTGCAAGTGTTGGACTAATGATTACACCCTAGATCAGCTAAATGCAGGCAAGAGTGTGCAAGGTGGTATTGAATGTCACTGTCTGTCACCTTGACTGTAAATTTTCATTCATAAGCTAGGTTGTAGCAACCTCATGATGGGTACAAGGAACATTTGAGTATCATGTAGTAGCCTAAACCTATCGATGTTACATTGAGCTGGATGAATGGAATATGAATGGCAGTCATTCAATATGCTGTAATAGAAATAAGGCCATGCTCATCAAAAAAAGAATCATCCTCCCTCATCTTAAACGGCACCAACCGCCACTGATAGAATTGCAGAAAATTGCAGTGTGATGAAAAAATTAGTGATGACTCATAATTCAACTCATAAGGCGGCAGGTAACCGAAAGGTCGCTGGTTTAAATCCCCGAGCCGACTCAGTGAAAAAGAAAAGTCACTTAACTTAATTGCTCCTCTAAGTCACTCTGGATAAGAGCGTCTGCTAAATGACTCATATGTATAACCCGCACACGGGTCAT